GCTAAAGTACGATGCTAGTAGTGACATGAAACATGATAAACAGATAATCTAGTTCATAATAATCTAATATGAATTTAATCGATTATGAATATGATAGGAAGGAATAATTGAAAAAACCCGCATAACAACGAACATGACTACATACGTGCATGATGAAATGATAAAAAACTATGAAACTTTAATCTTATATATACTTAACGGTATAGAAATAATTGAATTAAGAAGAATAATATGGGAAAAATATTTAATGATTATGAATCAGAAGATATATTAAATCAGCAATGGTATGAAATAAACCTACATGATTTAGACTCCGAAAGAATAGAATGGTATGATTTAGAAATAAATTCAGATTAAAATGAACTACGAATATTTACAATATTGGATAGAATCTATGGAAGATATAAAACTATTAGAACAATTAATGGAGGAAAATTTATATATGTACCGAAGAACCCAAGATATGTTATATCTAGAATATATCATAAATAATATTAAAGAAATATTCAGATTAAAACAACTATCGGAAGAATATTACTATAAATATTATTACATATTACCATGAATTTAGCACTGCCAAAAAGTAATATTAAAAAGATATCAAGATTAAGACACTTAGTAAAAAGATATAATAATAAAATCTTAAAAATAAGTTACTCACCTACCACACTACCATCTACCACACTATCACTTTCATGAATTCACCAACTACCAGTTCCGCACCGAAAAATGGTAATGTTGATTATTATTTTCCTTGTTCACTTCAATAAATTAAAAGAGAATTAATGTCTTTTTAAATTTTAATCTTATTATTAAATAACTTTTTAAAAATTAGCTGGATTATTAGTAGTCAGAAAAATTAATTTCAATATAGCATTAATAACTTTTTTTTAGTAAAATAATTTTTTAACTAATATTGTTTCAAGGGAACAAGGAAAGCAATTCGCAACTTTCCATGAAAGAGAGGAAGGATGTAGACGACCATGAACAACAAATTATTCACGGTACATAATTTATTAGTTTATTCAACAACTTATAAATGACTTATACTATTAATTATCTTTCATTTGGTTATTTATGATTTTCAGGTGAGTTTGAGAGCCTTGGTGAAGATAACCCATTGGATAATTCTAGTGCTACCTTAATAGATAATAACATTGACAATACGTGTTTGTATCCCCTCATTCATGCTTGCGAGGTAATTGTTCAGCACTAATGTCTATTTTTAAAAAAATTATTGAGCACGGTTATTATATTCCACAATATATTTTTCTATCTCCAATCATTTATTAAGAAACTATATGGATTTCCAGGAGTTAGAAAGTGAGAAATTCAAACAATGCAGTGAAAGCAACAGAAGACGGGATCAAAGGGATTCTTTTGAGTAGGAACTTCCTGACCAACAACAAGAAGAAAATATCAATGGTACTTAGTGAATTTAACATCTTACAAATTAAAATTATGTTAATTATTTGAATCTTTTTTCAGCGAAAGTAGAGAATTATCCTAAATTTAAATCAATGAGCACATTGTAATTTAAACTCTTGCCCTAAATGGCACAAAACACAATGGTAGCCTAATATACAGTCATTAGATTGAAGCTTCAGTCCCACTTTTTGAATTTCTAATTTGTTTCACATATATCATGCAATCTCACATATAATTTTTAGGTGAGTCAGATCTCAACAAAATTACATGTGAAGATGGTATCCCAGATAATTCTGATCGTATTATAACGACAATATTATCAACTATGGCTCAAGACTTTTGGCAAAAGATGAAAATGATGGAAACTATCATATCACACAAGGAATACCGAGAAGTACCAAATTTCGTTCCATCGATAACCTTTATAAGGTAATTCATATAAAGCTTATGTCTATCTTCTTCTGTAACATCAAGTATTTTCAACAAGTTTCTAATATTATTCAATAATAGTTTGTTTTTTCTTTACTTTTGATAATTAGATATTTGACAAAATAAAAGAAATTGTTAAACTTATTTTGTTATCTCATCAAATTTCATTTCATTCCACAGTGTACCTCCAGGCTCTCACCAATTGAAGATGAATATAATTGGAATCGTTCAACTGAAGAAGACCCAAATATGAATCATTTAGCAAAAGAAGATTCAAGTATCAAAACATACGAAAATAATGTTGGTTGTGAGAGAAAAGAGAGAAACAACAATGGAGAAAAGGATGTTGATACTTCTTCACCCTAGGTTCAGGATTGCATTTTAATCATTTCTTTTAATCCTATCGCCAAGCTGAGGTTGTCTTTTAATCACTTTTTCGAATGTTGACTTTAAATTTAAGTCGCCTTTTTAAACCTTGTCAATTACTTCTTCAGTTCTTCTTTATTAACTATCATTTATTAAGGTTTATTTTCAAAATTCATCAACAAGAACGGTGTGATATCTCTCGAGTAATAAAAGATCACATTTGATATCAAGGGTCCTTAGAAAACAAGCTATCTACCTCTATGGGATAGTGATAAGGTCTGCATACAATCTATCCTCCCTAGATGCCACTTTGAGGATCTCGTTGGGTATGTTATTGTTGTTGTTGTAAGTATTCTCAACATCAAAATGCTTGTTCACAACTAGTTTATGAATTCATAGAGTCTAAATAGCTCACACAGCATGTAATAGATCTTATCTTTCCTACAATTCAACATAATGATCTTCACAATACCTAAATAAGCAATGGACGACAACAGACACCATCCATATGTCCTTATGAATGGCCTCATTATAATAAATAAATGATTTAGTAGCAATAATATAATTTGCCGCTATATTGTATTTAATGGCAATAACCAATAAATATGAGTATTTATAACTAATACTCTATATAAATGTCATTAAAGACTTTAGTGACATTGGATGCAATGACATTAAATCAATTAGCACTAAATGTCTCTTTTGTTGTAGTGCTTGTAAGTGAAATGTCAGTGTCACAGCCTATACATGAATTATGAGGATGTGAAGGGATCATGGAAAAATACTATAGAAAGGATGTAAAACTTACAACAGAAAAAAAAAAAAAACGTATTGAAGGTCAAGATAAAACAAGATTTTATGCTACAAAATTACAACAAAAGAAAAAAGTTTGAACATGCCAACCCTAACCCCAATCCAATCCTTTTAACGTCCTATCTCCTATAGCTTCTCCAGATCATAGGGTCTTGTTCTCCATTGAACAATAAATGGAGTTGATCAAGAAGGAGGAGGGGGGTACTAGGTAGGCTTCAACTGTCTAACCTATTTCACTTGTATTTTCAGTCTACTATGAGTATATTCAAAACAAACAATTCTCTTTTAATTTACACACCTCATGATAACATAGTTCACACTTTTTATTTTTTCTCACAGACTATTTTGTCATGCCATCTACGAAAAACCTAACACTTCTCTCTTCAATAATTGATTGTTTTCTGATGTTTATTTATAGTAGCTGCATATTGCTATTGATGTTACCGATTGGTTTGCTAAATTAATAATTCCTAACTAGCATCTTTGAATTAATCTTGCACACCAAATGAAGACTTGTATATTTCTTCTATTCTAAAATAATACTATTAAAAAATGACTCAGTAGAGAGTTGACTATTAAGAGTGTAATTGTTTTCCTATATAATGTTTCTTCCAGAGAAAGCAAAGGAATTACCAAGATCACAAATTTAGATATATAATAGCCTAAATAAATAAGAATGGCCATGTCCGCGGTTGTAGAAACAGTCCTGTCGCACTTATTCTCTGCAACAAGTGGGATGATGTTGGTGGTACCACCACAGGCAGAGTCGGAGGGTAATGATCATGAAGACAGAGCAAGGCGAGATGAAAAAGTAGTCGAAAATATTATGAAGACATCTCAAATGCATTTAGTTGTGGCAACTCTATTAATGACAGTGACCTTCACAGCTGGTTTCACACTGCCAGAAGGTTTTGAAAGTGATACTAATAGCCCCAATAAAGGGATGGCAATTCTATTAAGGAGAACAGCATTTCGTGCATTTGTTGTTTCGGATGCCATCACCTTTACATGCTCCTCTGGTGCTGTATTTGCCTATTTTGCCATGGCATTAAATTCAATATCAGCTGTAACAGAGTTAACAGTTATTATCCAGCTTTATAATATGGCAATTGCATTGCAGATTTACGCCATGGCAGCCGTTGTAGTTGCATTTGCAACTGGTATGTATGTTACTTTAGAACATTCAATTGGTCTCGCCATTACTGTCTATTTCATCGGTTCTATGAAATTGGTTCTATGATTCTTCTTCTTGAAAAAAGGCCTACATAAAACCTGAACACAGCTAGCAATGTATTTGATCATTCTAAAGATGCCGCTAGCAATGTGTTTGATGTTGCATATAATTTCGAGCTATGATCAACCTACGATTCAAGTGTTTGGACATCTGAAGCAATGGCGGAGCCAACTTATGTAAATTACACTGTTTAGCCTACGTTAATAGTGAAGTCTCTGCTGAGACTTTCTTTTAGTTTAAAATAGAATATAAAACATTTAAATTAGGCTCAGGTTTCATCCATTTCACATGGTGTGGCCAGCTAGCTTACATTATTAGAAGTTGTTGGCTCGCATCTGGAGGCCAAATTAAATACTTCTATTATAATTATATTGACTTTGAGAGTCCCTTCATCAACCCATATAAGATTTGTTTTCTTACAATGGATTTGATTATTTTTAAGATTAAAATGACGTTTAGTGATGTACAGGTACAGATGTATGGGTAGAGTGATGGTCAGTCAAGAAAGCCCACGTCCAGAAGATGAAGATAATTAAGATGAGGATGCTCAGATGGATGTGTGAGCACACTAAGAGAGATATGATTAGGAATAAAGTTTTTGGGTACAAGATGGGAATGGCTCCATGCCAGACAAGATGAGAAATATGAGGCCAAGGTGGTTCAGTCATGTGAAGAGGAGGTGCGAGGGTATGCCAATTAGGAGATGTGAGAGGTTGGTTGTAGCAAGAGTTAAGAGAGATACAGGTATACTGGAAAAACATTGCGGGGAGGTGATTACATATGACTTAGCATAGCTCCAACTTACTGAGGAAATGATCTTAGATAGGAAGGTATGGAGGTGAAGGATTACAGGGTAGAAGGTCAATAGGTTGTCGGGTGTTATCGCACTTTATGTGGGAGAGTAGGGGGATAGCCTCCTCATTTTCCTCTTCTCATCATTGCAGTAGTAATTAGTAATTGTGTAGTCTCCTATTCTTTTATGTGTCGCACTATTTGTTATTTTATTTTCTTTGTGGCGTGCTATTTGGTTGTTATATATTTCTTGCAGTCTTACTTTGATAATATTCCTTTTGAGCCGAGGGTCTATTGAAAACAGCCTCTTTACCCCATAAAGGTAGAGATAAAATTTGCATACATCCTACCTTCTCCAAACCTCAGTTGTAGGATTAGACTGAGTGTGTTATTATTATCCAAAAAAGAAAAAAGAAACATTAACTGTGACGAAGGGGAGGAACAATATAGTAATTAACAATCTTTTGTGGTCTCAAGTTAAAATGCATTGCACAAAATATGGAATTTGTATCTTCAAAATAAGACGAGTTACCTGCGATAACAACTAAATGTAACCTAATGGATGGAGTATATATATGTTGATGAACTCCATTTACCTAAGTCTTTGCATTAGAATATCTTAAAATGGCAGGCTAGTACATGAACATGCAGAAGTGTGTGTATCTTAATCAAAGCCCTTTGATGACTATTTGTATTAAAACATCTTAAAAGGCATGTATTTGTGCGGGGTTCGAGAATGGGCCGAACCATAAGGGTCTATTGTGTGCAGCCCTTACACTTCTGCCAGAGCTTGTTTACACGTCTTTGACCCGTGTCCTCCTGATCACATGGCAACAACTTTACGAGTTACTCCAAAGCCCCTACTTTTCATGAACTTGTAGAATTAGTGTATTTCTTAATGAAGTCTTAGTGGAGTCTTTAAATTAGAATATTTTAAGATACCAGTTGACATTATTGATATTAACAAATATCCAAGGCAAAAAAACAGTACAACTTGACTTAGAGATGCCAAGTTGGGCCACATGCACCATGTGAAATTGATGAGCCTGAGATCTGTGTATATTATCACATTGATTTTGAGAGTGGGATCAGTAACCCTGCACCAACCCATTTTTTCGGAAGCTAAGGTACGAGTTCGACAGAATTTAGTAATTTCGATTTGAATATCATGTCTTTAAAAAATGCATTTAAATAGTTCTTTATAGTCGCATTAACTTTGACAGAGTCATCATCAAACCCAACCACACCATATTATAAGACCTGTTTTCTTACAACATGAAAAAAATAAAGTATATTAACTGTGAAGAAACAGGAGGTACGAAGAAAGCATGAAAATGAAAGGGAAGATGAAGATTGTGTTACCCACAAAATAAACTACAACAACAATAACATGCCAAGTATATTCCCACAAAGTAGGTCTGGGAAGGGTAGAGTATACGCAGTCCATAGCACTACCTCAAAAGTGAAGTAGATCCCCGGCTCAAGACACAAACAGTCTGGAAAAAGGACATAATATAATAAGAACAAGAAACAATAGATAATACCAAAACAACAGATAGTAATAGTGTTGGAATTATGACCTCCACGTACTTACTACTTGTTCTTTACTATTTGAGAGTTGTACAAAATAATTCGATAAAATAATAAGTAGATCACAACTTTGTATTATTTATCTCAACTTCAAACAACACAATGATAACACACCTATGTAATCTAAGGAATTATAAACTCTAATTCCTAACTACCCAAGACAACAAAACCCCATGTTTTAAGTCTTCTAAAATCTTTCAAGTTTCACAAACATGTTAGACTTACCCTACTCTCAATACTTAATTGCAGTCAATAACTATTAACTACAATCTTACAATAATCTCTCACAAACTCGCAGCACTCCCCAAGTAACTTACAAAACTCTCTCAAAAGCTAGATCGTGTTTTGTTTTTCTCTCTATGTAAGTGCGCAATCTTTTCTGATGATAATATCGCCCTATTTATTGATCAAAACATCTCAAAGTCTTGTTCAACTCGAACTAGACTTTATCGCATCCTCAAAGTTTTGTTCAACTCGAACTAGACTTTACCGCATCCGCAAAACCTTGTCCAACTCGGACTCTACTTCACGCCTCTTTTGTGTAGTTTCCTTACTTGACTTTGGCTTTGATTTATTTCCTTCTTGAATCCTTATTCACGCCGTTCTACTTCCTTCTTTCCTTATGCTTCCTACGTTGTTTATGCTTCCTACTTCTCTTAGGACTTATAAATTATGTTTACACTTTGACTGATTCTGTACAACTTGTTCCTTGCTCAATTGCTTTGTCAGTCTTCAAAATCCTTATTAAACTAACAAATTCCCCCTTTTTGATGATGACAAATCATACATTACGAATACATCAAATGTTAAAGGTATCTTCCCTCTTTTGGCATCAGTCAAACCTGCATAGAACCTACTATAGTATCCAAGTGATAACCGACCATAAAAGCACCAAACACAGTTAGTTATAAAAGGAAATAGAACTATTCAGAAATTAGGTAGTTCTACAGCAAAAGCAAGCCATCCCACATCAGGGATATAAAGTCAAAAATGTACAAACCATGCTAACACCACATCAAAAACTGAAAAGCAAAAACCATACACGACTAGAAAGAGTTTATTAGTTAAGGAATCTGGGAAGAAGTAGCTAGTGGAGAGGCAGACGGAGGAGTAGACTTGAATAGATCATAAAGGCCTTTTAGATTTGCAGAGTTTGTGGATTTCTCAGCTTCAAGAGCAGCTTCAGACTTAGCCAAATCTTCTTTCAACTTTGCAATTTCTTCCACCAACCTGGCATGCTCGAGTCCATTGGAGACATGTAGCTGATCCATAGCAGTAGTATGAGATACTCTGAGTGCAACAATTTCCTCATCTTTCAATGTTAGCTGAGCTCGCAACCTCTGCATACGAGCATTTGCACCCCTCCGAGGAGTAGGTACAACAACGTGATTCACAGTACCAAGAACATCCTTTGTTGTTTGCTCCTCCCACACCTTAACATGGATTTTAAAATACTCAAAGATCTCGCCTAACCAAAATCCATATCCTAAAGAGTGCAACTTTTTGTCCTCAACACCGATAAAGTGTATGTGAAATAACATCAACCGTGGCAGGTTAATGGAATGCCATGAAAGCAAGAGTCACTTCAACATTTTATGTCTCACCCTAGAAAAGTGTGGCCTAAACTATCAAAAAATATAGCCTTTGATAAAAGGCCACATTTTTTGACTTTAGGCTACGCTTTTCTGGGGGTGGCCTAAAGAAGCATAACCTTAGAATTTAGGCCACACTTTTCAAGTGTTGCCTTTTCAGCCACACTTCAAAAGTGTGGCCTACAATATAAAAAGGCCACGCTTTGCATTACCTCTTATAGCAACATTTCTATCTCCTACAACTACACTTTTAACCGTAGCCTTTGCTTCCTTATTGGCTACGCTTCTGAAGCGTAGCATTGTCTAGCTTATCTACAACAGCACTTTGAAGTGTAGTCTTTGCCAATATACATATGACAATTTCCAACTAATAAGGTACACAATTAGCATCCCTATGGCAATACTTTTGAAGTGTTGCAATGTTATTTTGGCTATAAAAATATTTAGATGCCAAATTTTTTTAATTGAAAAATTAGAATATTGTTTTACAATAAATAAGCATTAAATTAGCTAATAAATAATTCAAATGTACAGATTTGCAATAAACATAAAAAAAAAAAAAAACAATGTGTCTTATACTACATATACTTATAAAGCAATACTTTATGTACTACCAATAAATTTCACAAAACCAAATATAATATATTCAAACTTCTACGATAGTTCAAAAACTTGATTTGTTGCCACCATTCAAATTTGATTGCCGACACTTTCCTACACATTCAAAATAAAATTATCAGTGTATAAGTGCTTATTATCATTTGAACCATATATTGTATATAACGAATTTATTATAAGAACAGATAATACACAAGTAAAATGGTGGCTAACAAGAAAAATACAAGATTTCGTAACAACAAAAGAAATAAGGAGATTGGTATTAAATATATTAAATTTTACATTTACAATTAAAGTAATAAAAACTGATAAGAATGTTATTCCAGATTACCTATCATGACAAAGCTACTCAGACTGAGACTGACGAAGAAGATACAATCGAAAAGATACTCAAAGCTATTACTACACTTTGCACAAAAGTAGATAGTATGGACAACGAGATACAAAAGTTAAAGACTAATGAAGATAATCTGAAGTCTAAAGCTAGTCAGCAGCATGACTATAAAAATGCGGAGCTACGTCGATCGGAAGACGGAAAAAACCCAGAGCTAAAAGGAGACGATGGAAAACTCCTTAAAACCCATAATGTTTGTTTAAATATAGCTGCAAGTACAAGCAAACAAGTTAGCGATAAACAATATAAAAATGTGAACTTAAACCAGCTATTCGCAAAACCATTTACCCAAAGGACACCTAGACATATGTCCATAGAACCACAAACATCTACATACGCAAATAGTGTGCAAAACTAAAATGAGAAAAATACATATAACTACATCACATGAACCTATATCGAAAATATACACAAAATCCGAACTTATTTAAACCGCAACCCCATATCAACTACAAAAGAACCAAACCAAGATTATTTGACACAAAAGTTACAAGGATATAACAAGTTAATTGCACGGCCAAAAACTAACGCTAATTTAGTAAGAACATGTTACAACTACGGACTGTTAAATACCGTATACACATACGACGGAGAAGAAGTTAGTGGAATACCGGAGCTACACAAAGCATTCGTCACATACAAAAGAGTTACAAAAGGAAATTTATTTTATATAAAATTCTATACAGCACCAGCGGAGATATTATACGAGGAAATAAAACCTCCAATACAGGTTATCAAGATAGGACTGACTAAAGATATGATTATACCCGAGGACATCGGACAACAAGAAGAGATATGCAAAATAGAGATACCAAGTTTTTATGCCAACAAAAGAATAATTGATATATCAACTATCCTACAGGAGCTAGCAAATAATTATTTAAATGGAAACGTTATATGGAGCTACTATGCAAGAGATCAGCTAATGATTTATTCCAATTCAAGGGAGCTAAGGAAAGCAGATATAGATGAAGTCCAAAGATGGATTTTATCATTACTCAAGCCAGAAGAACAACCTACGACGCGAGCACTAAAAGCAGGCTTTATTTCGGCAGAGTTATTAACCAAATATTGCAAGCTAATTGGTCACAAATATCCTGACCACATATGTTCAAAATGCAACGGAGAAGATAACATAATTCCAGATGTCGATTTAGAGTAAAAGAAGACGATGAAGATAAGAAGTAGACAGACAAGAATTAGAACATAGGCAAAATAGACTTAACAATAATATATTCGCAGGAATTTGTCACAAATCTATAATAGCACAAAGAAAAACTATTTTATATCTAGAAATACAAATAAATAACTTAGAATATAAACTACAACATAATTTATAAATGAATAAAGAAGAATGCGCAATAGATGAAAAAACATATGAAAATTATGACGGATTAAAAATAAAGATAATATTTTCTAATCTAGGAAGAGGATATAAGAAAATAAGTGACAATATAAGTTTAATGTTAGAGAAAGAAACGATAAAACTAGAAGATAGTTTAACTGCTATGACAAGAATAACAAAAGAAAATGAAGAAATAGATAGAAAAACGGAAATTGAAAAAATAAAACAACAAGCAAAAAAGGAAGTACAACAATTAGAAGAAATAAAAAACACTAAAATAATAGAGCTAGAAAAAGAGCTAGCAATATTAAAAGAAATGTATGAAATTAAACAAAAAGAAAAATTACAAAAACAAAATTAGCAAATGAGATAATTAAATTTAAAGAAAAATTGCAATTACAAGATGAATTACAAGAAAAGAAGAAAATAGCCAAGATAATCTACCCGAAATAAGAATTGATGAAATAAACGACGATGATCTAGAACAAAATTTGGAAACAAGCGAAACATATACGGAACTTTTAGCAAACATAGATAATACAAAGAATTTAGAAGTAAATACAGAAGACGTAGATATGGACGAAAAACCTAGCACATCAGGAGTAAAAAACCCAAAAAAATTTAATCCAAAATATTATAATGAAAATTATGAACAATATGATAAAGAAAAAACTACATGGGATAAAAGATTAAATAAAAAATGGACACCTAAACCAATAACTTAACGACATGATTTTTTAAATTTAGACTGTGTAGCAGATATAAATAAAACAATCCAATTATGGATGGGATACATATCAAAACAATTAATAGATGACAAGATAGTAACAACAGAGGCACCAGGATACATAGAAAGAACACTTATAGGAACAGTAAAATTATAGCTACAAAACCTAACAAGTGAACGCTTAACAACTTTAAGAAGTAATAAAAAATTCGATGGAGGAATAGCTACTACATCTATGGAAATACTATATAAATACGAAATAGCTATAAGAAATGAATTTAGTAGTATGACAACAGAGATAGAAGAATAAAATAAAGAAAAAATCATAAATCGAAATCTAATGACAAAATTAGCAATATGTAATATGTGCTACATAGA